TGACTTGAGCTGAAGTTGGATGCTTAACTGACAGAGCCCCTCAGGAGCCCCCTAGTCCCAACATAATTGAATGAAATCTAAAAACAGAGAACCAGAAAAAATCTTTTGAAATATACTTTTGCTGCTTGACTTTTTGTTGTTGTTGTTTATGAAGGTCACTGAAGGGGAGGCCAGGACACCTCCATTCGAAGGTATATAATGTCCTGGGAGGCTGTAAGATTCTGAAGGTAGCAGAAACAATATTGGGAAGGAAGGAAATCAATGAAGAGTCAGATTGAGTTATTACAAACTAAAACCAATAAAAAGCCCCTGGACTCCAAGCATATATGACAAAACAATTCAATAATTCATCGTAAAAGTAAAAATATATGTCATTGCTGGAGCTCCTGTAATTTCCTCAGATTAGAGAGGTTAACAGTATATGCACCATTGTTAAATGTTTAACTCTGAGGAGATACCAATTTATTTCATGCTCTTGTCAAGTAAGCTTTTGTCATTATACCCTTGCTATATTCTCTAAATTGATAGTGCTTTAAAAATGTGTATTTTCAGAGGCTGCTCTCTAATCTACAGAAGAATTTGAGTTTAAGGGCACCTTTTTAGTAGAAGCTTTATCTTAATGACCCTTTGGTTAAACCCATTGAGAATATCTTATTTTTCTGTTCAGCTTCTCAGGGGCTGTGAAAAAAATGAATGCTGTTACTGGAACTTATTTTTTATTATTTTTTTCTACATTTAAGAGACAATTATATGAGCTGTTTCTGTTGATCCTCTAACCCACGATATAAAACTCCATATAGAAGGGTATTGTGAATGAGGCTAAGTCTATTTTCTAATTGTAGATTTGTTCCATTAGAATTAAATCCTTTGGACATTAGGAAGAATCATTTATTCATAAGCTACGGCTTCTATGCAGAGAATGGACTAGAAACTATAATTTGGTTCTACATTTCTGTCATTTAAATAACACCTCCCAGTCAATATTAAGTGTTTATACATATTGTTAAAAATGTACTTTCTGTCTACCTCCCTATGTTAACTTCTTTTTATCTGAAGGAGAAAATCCCATTAACTTGTATTATGTTGTGCAAAGAGTTGTTCAATATCCCCTCATTCAAAGGAAATATTAATTATGCATTTAATTCAGATAGAAAATCATTATTTTTGAATAAATATTTTAGAACACTTTTAGATTTTAAAAAATTTGCAAAGACTGTACAGAGTTCCCATATACACCACCTCCAGTTTATCCTACTGTTAAAGCCTGATAGTAGCAGCATGGTACATTTGTTATAGTTAATGAACCAATATTGATAAATTTTAATTAACACAAGTCCATACTGGATAAATATTTCCTTAATTTTTAATGTGATAAATTTTATCTTGTCCTTGAACTGATCCAGGTTATTACATGATATTTCATAAGCACTTGTTGGCTGAGATAGCTTCTTAACCTTCTCTTGTTTTTGATGATCTTGACAGTTTGTGAAATATTGGTCAGATATTTGGTAGAATGCCCCTATACTGGAATTTGTCTCATAGCCTTTTCTCAGGATTAAACTGAGTTTATGGATTTCTGGGACAAAGAGCACAGAGGTAACATGATGTTTTCATAATAGCATATTAACATAATGTTACTGTTAATATTGATCCTGGTCACCTGACTGAGGTAGTTTTGTCAAGTTTCTCCATTAAAAGTTACCCTTTTCCCCTTCCTTCTCATACTAAAACTTTTGGAAGAAAGTCAAGAGGGAAAGCAAAAACAAATAAATCCAACCCCCTCCCCCAAATAAAACAAAAAATCAAGGACTAGAGCAATTTTAAGCCTCTGACACAACAACCACAAACATTAAACATAGCCCAATTCCTGCCCAGATTGGTATAGACCTACAAAATCATTTACCTCAGTTACTGTTACGTGATTAAGCATATCTTCCTTTAAAGAAAAAACTAAAAGACCTGTCAAAAGGCAAACACAAATAACAAAATAAAACAAAAGAACAACAAAGAAACAGTCTGAAGAGACAAAGAACCACACTCTGATATGACAAAGATATTAAACTTATAAGAAAGAGAATTTAAAATAATATGATTAATAAAATTAAGAGCCCTAATAGGAAAAGTAGGCAATATAAAAGAACAGGTGGAAAATATGTTCACACAAAAACCTGCATGTGAATGTTTTTTAACAGCTTTATTCATAATCACCAAAAACTGGAAGCAAACAAAATATCACTTAATAAGTGAATAGGTTCAATTCTGGGTTCTCTATTTGATTCCATTGGTCTATGTGTCTGTTTTTGTGCCAATACCATACTTTCTTGATGATTACAGCTTTGTAGTAGAGGCTAAAGTCTGGGATTGTGATGCCTTCCGTTTTGGTTTTCTTTTTCAATATTACTTTGGCTATTCTGGGTCTTTTGTGGTTCCATACAAACTTTAGGTTTGTTTGTTCTAGCTTTGAGAAGAATGCTGGTGCTATTTTGATTGGGATTGCATTGAATGTGTAGATTGCTTTGGGCAGTATTGACATTTTAACAGTATTTATTCTTGCAATCCATGAGCAAGGAATGTTGTTCCATTTCTTTGTGAATGCATAAAGCTGTGGTTTATATATATAATGGAATACTACTTGCCAATGAGAAAAAATGAAATCCTGCCATTTGCAGCCACATGGATGGAACTGTAGGGTATTATGTTAAGTGAAAGAAGTCAGTCAGAGAAAGACACATATATGTTTTCACTCCTATGTGGAACTTCGGAAATGTAAAAGAAGACCATGGGGGAAGGAAAGGGGAAAAAATAGTTACAGAGAGGGAGGGAGGCAAACCATAAGAGACTCTTAAATACAGAAAACAAACTGAGGGTTGATTTGGGGGGGGCGGTGAGGAGAGGGGAAAATAGGTGATGGGTATCAAGGAGAGCACTTGTTGGGATGAGCACTGGGTGTTGTATGTAAGTGGTAAATCATAGGAATCTACCTCCAAAACCAACAGCACACTGTATATGCTGTATGTTAGCCAACTTGACAATAAATTATTTAAATATAAAATAAATAGTGCTGCCATAAATATTTAAAAAACTAAGTGGACAGATAAGCAAACAGTGGTTCATTCATGCAATGGAATATTATACATCAATAAGAAAAAGTGCTCTCAAGCCACAACAAGGCATAGATAAACCTTAGTTACATAATGCTAAGTGAAAGAAGTCAGTCTGGAAAGGCTACATACTATATGATTCCAATTATATGACATTGCAAAAGGCATTCCTCTTAGGTGAGACAAGAGTGGGCTAGACTATGAGGAATGACCTTTCTCCCTGTGGCATAAGCTCCAATAAAGTGTCTTTCATGGAAATTAAGCCTTTGTTATGGAGAAGTATCGGTTTATTTCCCAATGATTAGTCTTCACCTTTCCCTGTCACAGCCACTATATGATCTTTCTCAGATCTCCCCAGGAGAACCTTGTGGGGTTCCTGGAGATAAAGCTCAGGAAAGTGTGGTGGCCTTTCTACATTGTGCCCCCCCCCAAAAAAAGTGCCCCTTTGAGATGCCTGGATGGCTTAGTTGGTTGAGTGTCCAACTCTTGATTTCGGTTTGGGTCATGGTCCTAAGGTCATGGAATCAAGCCCTGCATGGGGCTTAGAGCCTGCTTAAGATTCTCTCTCTCTTCCTCTCTAAAATTAAATTAAATTAAAAAAATGTAAAGTGCTCCTTTCACAAGTCTACACGCACCTCCGGAAATTCAAGATGATTAATTGAATGCCACGCACCTGTGGCTCCATTCTGCATTTCCAGATCTTGCTGTGACTCCTCTGGATGTGTCTGTCTCTTTGGACTTAGGGATTGCAATTGGCTTCACAATCTGAGTGCCACAGTAGCTTCAAGGAAATTGTTGATTTTCAGTTCAGGTTTTTGGGGTTGTAAGAAAAGCTATCACAACTTCCAAACTCTTTTCATGTCAGAGCTGAAGCTAATCATTATGATTTTTTAAAGTACATAATGCTAAATTCAAGAGGAAACAAGATGCCATTTTAATTCTAATTTTTATTTTATTATGTTTTGAAATTTTTTTAATTTTTATTTATTTTGAGAGAGAGAGAAAGAGAGAGAGAGAGAGAGAGACAGCGCATGAGCAGGGGAGGGACAAAGAGAGAAGGAGACACAGAACTGGAAGCAGACTCCAGGCTCTGAGCTGTCAGCCGAGAGCCTGTCGTAGGGCTTAAACCCATGAGCGAGATCATGACCTGAGCCAAAGTCAGATGCTCAACCAACTGAGCCACACAGGCACCCCGAAGATGCCATTTTTAGGGAGGCTATTTCACACATTAGTTTTATCTTTTTTAATTTTTTGTTCATATGATACAATGCAGGTTCCATAAATTCCAATAGGTAATGAATAAGTAAGTTAGTATGAGAACTTCATACTAAAATTTCAGTTAAGTTAGGGGAGATTTGGGTTATTGGAAGCTTTATGAATAATTATGAAAGCAGTGCCCATCTGAATATTTTTATTCATGGAAAAAATACTGTTTGACAACTATTTATTGTTCTAATTCAGATGATTGTGAATAGACAGGTAATAATCTTACTCACAGGTAATGATCATGTCACTATGACAGCGAGAAAAGCAAGACCAACCCCGCATCCTGACATTGCTGTGAGGCATAGTTAAAACTATTATATTGCCAGATAGAAATGCTTTTTATTTCATCATTTTTTTTCTTTTCTAAGCACAGAGCTTCACAACATTGCTTAAGAAAATACAGAATGTGGGGCACCTGGGTGGCTCAGTCAGTTAAATGACTGACTTAGGCTCAGGTCATGATCTCAGAGTTCGTGGGTTCGAGCCCCGTGTTGGACTCTGTGCTGACAGCTTAGAGCCTGGAGCCTGCTGCAGATTCTGTATTTTCCTCTCTCTTTGCCACTCCCATGCTCATGCTCTGTCTTGCTCTGTCTCTCAGTAATAAATAAACGTTAAAAAATATTATTTAAAAAAGATAATATGGAATGCTTCATGAACTTGTGCACCATCTTTGTTCAGGGGCCAAGCTAATCTTCTCTGTATCAGTCTAATATTACTATACAGCTACCGAAGTGAGCGCAGGTGGACATGCTTTTTAAAAAATGCTTTTTGTTTTGCTTTTTTGAATAAAGAAGAGGAGGTACTTGTGGAAATTATGTATTAACCTCCCGGTGGCCTTGGAAAGTGAGGATATTTCCTTAATATTTCAAAAAGCCTGCCAAATAAAAATTTCAAAAGCAATGGCTAAAATCATAGTTCCTGAACTGTGTAAGCCCCAAGAGGGGCACCTGGGTGGTAGAGCTGGTTAGGCATCAGACTTCAGCTTAGGTCATTCTCTCACTGTTTGTGAGTTCAAGCCTGATATCGGGCTCTGTGCTGCCAGCTTGGAGCCTGGACCCTGCTTCAGATTCTGTGTCTCCCTCTCTCTTTCTGCCCCTCCCTCTTAGCACTCCTTCTGTCTCTCTCTCTCTCAATAATAGATATTAATTTTTTAAAAAAAAGAATCCCCAAGATACTACAATGAACTCTCAGAAATGCTTTGAGTATTTTAAGTTTTTGAGAAAAATCACTGATTCTTGACAACTATCATGTATCAGAACTACTACCTAAAGTTAATTTTATCATAAGATCATGCTACATAAGTTTTGATGAAGTCGTATCTTTGCAGTTTCTTGCAGTTTCATATATAAAGCAAGTACAACTAGCAGCATAAAATAGGATATTAGTAGTCTTTTCTAATCTGCTTCCAAGTTTTAAGAATATGTGCATTGCCCAACATGCACACATATTCCACAAGCATGAAATTGTGGTTATTCTGGAATAAAATAAATGTTTTCCTTTAATTAATGTGTGGTTCTTGTTTTATACAGCTACTAAGTTTTTGGACATATGTACTCAGTTTGGATGTAACTACTTTAACGTATGAAATTCTTAGGCATTTCTTTAGGTCTTCGGATAATGTGTAATATTTACTGAAACTCTAAGAATACCAGAAACCAAAAAAAGTTTGAGACCTTTTAGCTAAAACAAAGTGATGTGGATTTAAAGACAAAATATCAAACAGTGGAGTCAAACACACACACACAAAAAATAAAAATGGAGATTTTAAAATATAATGTGTTATCTATAATTTTTAACAATGAAAAATAGAATGAGGACAATGCTTTGCAAAAGTGATTATCTTCAGTACCTAGGAAAATAACAGGGAATGGAAAGATAATTAAAGAAGATTGTTAATGTTCCTTAACTCTATGTTTCTTTGATATTAAAGCTGTAAATTAATTTATAGTTTAAATTAATAAACTATAATTTTATTTTATTTAATTTATTAAAATATTAATAAATAAATAGTTTAAATTTTTGTTCCATTTGATGACTGGGCTAGAGAATCTCTTTACTTTAAAATATAATGTTATATAGATCAAATCTAGGCCCATAATACCATATACTGGGGTCCATATAGTTTCTGCATCTATTTGCATTCTCCTTACAGGCTGATCTTTTATTTTAGAACCAGTCAGAAGTGTTCACGTTACTTAGAGATAGGTTTAGTGGTTATTGTCTTTTATTTGAAGCATTATTTTTATAATTGCAAACATTAGTAAACTGACAGGTCTAATTACATCTCCAATTATGTGTCTAAGATGTTATTTACGTTGTGAATGTTTATCATCGTGGTTAATTTTAAATGAATACCCCTTAGATTGCTTCTAAAGAAATCACCATGGAAAAATTCGAATATGATTTGTAAATACACAGTGTAGTTTCAGTTCTGCCTCAATATACGTGATTCATACTATTTTCTTTACTGTGGTAAAATACACATGAGAAAATTTAAGATTTTAACCACATTTGTGTATAATTCCATGGCATTAAGTGCATTATTATTGTTGTGCAGCCATCTTTACCATCTATGTTCAGAGCTTTATCATTCTCCCAAACTGAAACTCTATATCCATTAAAAATACTTCCCCATTCAGGGTACCTGGGTGACTCAGTCAGCTCAGGTCATGGTCTCACAGTTTGTGGGTTCAAGCCCCGTGTTGGGCTCTATGCTGACAGCTTAGAGCCTGGACCCTGCTTTAGATTCTGTGTCTCCCTCTCTCTCTGACCTTCCCCTGCTCATGTTCTGTGTCTTTCTCAAAAAAGGAATAAACAGTACAAAAAATTTTCTTAAAAATTCCCCATTCCCCTTTTCTGTAAGTCCCTGGCAACCACCATTTTGCTTTCTGTCACTATGAATGCGATTACTATAGGTACCCCACATAGGGAAAATCATGTAACATTTGTTGTTTTCTATGCCTGACTTACTCTCACTTAGCATGTTTTCCAGCAGTAGCATGTATCAGGATTTCACTCCTTTTTAGGACTCAATGATATCTCAATTTATGTGTATATCACATTTTGTTTCTCCATTCGTTTGTCAATAGATACTTAGGTGGTTTACACCTTTGGCCCTTGTGAATAATGCTGCTAAGAATATTGAGGTACAAATACATTCATATTGTCTTATTGTCTTATACTGCTTTTTAGAATGTAAAGGAGAATAAAATTCATAGAAATGCTTACTAAATGTGACATTTTGGTTATTGATTTGAAAACTGCTAGTTAAAAAACAGGGCATTGGCAAAGCAGTCCTTTCTGGGAATGCTTGTGATTAGAATGATTCCCACAATTACAGGTTGTTGATACTATTATGTACTTGTACCTGATCACATGTATTCTTGTTGTTCTCGAATATTTACTTGTGTGATTATTTGACTAGTAGTTTTCTCATTTCCTCACTTACTGTAATCTCTGTGAAGAAAGAAGCTGACTTTGCTCATTGTATTTTTACTTGTCAAATATAGTTCCTGACATATGGATTACAAAACTAGATACCAATCTTTACATAATCTCTAAAATGTACATATACCAGCAGCAGTATAGATGATAAGGAAGACATTCCTTCAGGGTAGACTTACATAGTCTTTTTCCAGTTTCAACTTGCACTTGAGTCAAAATTACAGCTATTATCATCATTTTAACTCAAAGAGTAATGCAAAACCTATTAGCACAGAGGGTCAAACTTGCTAATTTTAGCAACCTTCACTCTTTGTCCTTTGATGCTGACCCCCAACTTTTCTTTATAATATCTGGGACTTAACCATCTCAGTGAGTGACATCAGTAAGAAAGGATAGTTGTTGGATTACCAACTAATTCTGCATCATATGTTATTCTTTTAAAGAAAGGAACATAGGGGCGCCTGGGTGGCTTAGTCAGTTAAGCGTCCGACTTTCGCTTCGGTCATGATCTCACGGTTCGGGGGTTCAAGCCCCGCGTCAGGCTCTGTGCTGACTGCCAGCTCAGAGCCTGGAGCCTGTTTCAGTCTGTGACTCCCTCTCTCTCTGACCCTCCCCTGCTCACGCTGTCTCTCTCTATCTCTCCTAGAAATAAATAAAACATTTAAAAAAAAAAGGAACATAAATTACTTATACAATAAAAATATATAAACACTCTAAAGATATAGAATAAAGTATATAAACTTTCATTTGTAGAAGTATAATACTATTTTTAACTTATTTCCTCTTTTGCTGGCTTTCAATTATTATAAGAAATATCAATTATTATTGTGCCATCTTGTGCAAGTGTAGAAAGGATTGTAGCTGACAATAGATATGGTGACATGATCTCAGCATTTCCCCTAAATGTGTGTTCTTTGAAGGGATTAAGAGTAATAGTATTTTTGCAGTCTTCATCTGTGTTGAAAACTGCATGCTGTGGAAATTTATAGAATAGAATTTGAGAGGAAATCTTATTTAGACTATAATTAAATAAAGTTTTACTTAACATGGAAGCCAAAATAAAGTCATATTCAGGCATATCATTTTAAAAAGTTACATTCATTTCTAGGTTAAGGAAATAAATGAGTCTTAGAATTGATTTTCAATTTAATTGAGGATATTATGTGTTTTGTTAATATGTTAATTACTCATTTCTCTATGTGCATATTATATAGAGAGGTACACACATAAATATACATACACACACATATATACACATATACATATACATACATATACACACACACACACAACTTTTTTGCCACTCTCATTCCTTTACCCACCAATGTAAATTATTTTAAGCAGCACGCACCACTGGAGCAAGTGAGACCATTCTTGTTCCCCTCAACATGACATAAGCATATACACATCAATTTTCTATAACCTAGAATAGCAGCCATTCCTATGGCTGAATATTATACATTAGTGACAGCTTTAATGAGTCCAAACTTCTTAAGTTCCTGAGCCTTCCAAGTTTCCTAATCCAAATTAAGTGAAGGACTTTAAAAGTCAACTCTTCAGTTAAAATACCCCAAGGGAGATACTAAAGCCAATGTTTTAAGTCTTATTAGTATTAAATCAATATTTGTCAAACACCTAATTAGTCAAAAAGGGGCCAAGTGTCTTAGTTGCCAGGGTAGCTGACATTCTTTGACTTCCTACTCTCTTGAGTACCTGAGAAGCCACTCAAAAGGACAGGAAGGATCATGTTGTAGCATTAACAATTCCTCTTCACAATAAATTTATAAAGGTCATAGAACTTTGTGAACAAATTGTATGATCATGGCATTCAAAGCAAAGCCACTTTAAATTCAAGTAGAAGACTTCAATATGTTTATCCAACATACAGACGATTATCAAGTATATGACATACAGATGAAAAAATGACTAGGTACATGTATACATTTCTTTTCCTTCATACTTATAAATTGGCTAAAATTCTGCTTTTATTTTTGTTATGATATAGTTTTATTCCCATATTTCATTTTCATTATGATGCACGACTACTATGACAAACATATGTGTTATACAATTAGTTGATTTTTTGTTGTTGTTGGTCATGGTGGTATTTTTTTGCTTTTTATTCTCTGTGAGATCACCTTGAAGCAAGATGGTTTGTGTACCTGAAAGCAGAATGTCCACAATGGAATTTAGAAGGAAAGTGTCAATGATCAGATTTTTGTTTCAAAACAGACTAATTATTTTTAACTAAGGTATATATAATAAAATGCACCAAATGCACAGTTCCATACAGT